ATATGTTAAATTTATTGAAAATATATTAATGAAACTTATGTTATTTTTTTATATTTTAATAATAATTATTATTAGATTTAATTTAAATTAATTCATATAATATTATACAAACGCAAATATATAAACGCGTTGCAATAAAATTATATTTTTATTAATCCTAATATCCAGGTTATTTGTATCATTTGCTAATTACCGTTTGGACACGTGACCCCCTTCTTACTCGTTAGTGGAAAAATAATTAAAAACATGCAAACAATTCTAAACGCGGTTTCCTCTTTTTTTTCTTTATTTTTCCAAAGAAACAGATAGAAAAAAAGAAAGAATGAAAGAAATAAAGAAATATAAAGAAAGAGAATGGTATTTCTCCGTTAATTGGACTTTACAAAACCGTATGATTGGAATGTCATTAACTATGATTCATTCTCGCCCTTGATATTTCTTCTTTATGGAGATTCAATTCAATCAAAGTTCTGAGAAAACGTTAACCAACACATTAATGACACTTTTATTATTATGCATCATGTACACCTGTTGTCCCATTTAAAACCTATACGTTTACATTCACTTCAATTACTTTAACAATATCAAATATATCTTATCCTATTAATATTAAAAAAAAAAAACAAATCTCTTTTTCTCAAATAAAAATTTGTACAATAATAATAATAATACTATTAATCGTGCGCGCGTTAATATATAATCACAAACTTACAAATAATAATCTCTTGTAAATATTCAAATAAATTTATAATTATCACAAAACATATTTCCGATCACATTAATCAATCAAACTCTTTACAAAATTATCTTCCTAATTCTAATCTTAAGAATATATAATTTAAATCAACGTTCACAAACATTTACAATCGTAACATTCACAATTAAAAAAACAAATCAAAAATTCTTCTCAAACAAACCAAAAAAAAAGAAAAACAGATAAATTAAGAAGAGTAAAATAAATCTAACAATTAGTTAAAAAAACAAAAAAACCACACGATAACAAAAGTATAAATCGTAAATCACGTTTAGAAATTATTAAAATGAGTGTGCCAGAAATGTTGTTAGTCTAGTAGTAGTAGTAGTAGTAGTAGTAGTAGTAGTAGTAGTAGTAGTCAAAGAGTAAACGTTAGTATTAAAACGTTAAGAGGAGGTGTTAGATGATTTAGTAATAATAATAGTAATAGTAGTAGTAGTAAATAATTCTCGGATCAGTTCAGTACCAGCCTTGCGGTCGAGTAACACGCATTGCTGCTCTCGGTAAAGTAGAAATGTTGGCAGAGTGATTGTTCGGTAATATGACGGTTGGTGGTAGTGGTGATGATGATGATGATGATGATGATGGTGGTGGTGGTGGTGGTGGTGGTGGTGGTGGTATCCTGTCGACGATAGATGGATCCATTTCTAATATCATTCGTAGATCATCGTCGATACCGATATGTACTCGAACACTTTGCCGATTATTATTATTATTATTATTATTATTATTATTATTATTATTATTAACAATCCCTTTATCTTTAATATTCGAAAGGAAATTATAGGAGGAAGAATTCAAAGAGGATGGGGAAGATGAACGACAACAACAACAACAACAATTATTTGGAAACAATGATGGTGATGAGGAAGGGGCAGGAGGGGGAGGTGTTGGAGGAGTAGGTCTAGGTGGAAGAGGCGGCGGGGTGGGTGGTGGTGGATAGGGTGGGGGTGGTGGAGGTGGGGTTGGAGACAAGGAAGATGGCCGAAGGACAACGTCGTTAATTCGATCGAGCCGTGAAACTAGCTCCTCGAATTCGACGATTTGTTTGACGGTTTCTAATGCTCCTTGCATCTCCCCCTCTTCCTCTTCCTCTTCCTCCTCTTTCCTCCCTCCCACCCTTCCTATCCCCCTTTTGTCTATCTCTTTCCCTCTTGATCCTTTGTATTCTTCTTTCGATTATCTTCTATCAAACCCACCCAACCACTGGTACCACCACCACTACCACTACTATCAACACTAACACCACCACCACCACTGTTGCTGATGTTGCTTGCTGATGTTTCTAAGTTTCTCAAAGAGAAACCACACAGAAGGTCGCGCGTTTTGCGATCGGATGATTTGGGCGTCGCGACGCTACTAAAACAGCCACGAGCGGTAACGTCTTTTGACTATCGTCCCAGAACACACACATACATTCATATATATGTATATATATACATACGTAATGTAGTTTTGTCGCTTAACTTCGTTCAATTCCGTTTCGTTTCGTTTCGTTCTTATCCTATCCTATCCTATCCCTATTTCTTTTTCTCTCCTCACCTCTCCTCACCTCTCCTATCTTCTGTTTAACTTTGCCAAGATTTTTCATACACATCTACAACCACCACTACTACTCGTTTTCATCTTCCTTTCTTGTTTCCTTCCTTGCTTGCTTTCTTCCTATTCCTATTTTCTATTCTTTTTATTCTTATTCTTATCTTTGTGTTATTCTTATCGAATTCTAATAAATTCAAGTTTGTTTTTGTTTTTTCTCTGAACTCTATATGATTTTATCATAAGTGTGATCATTAATTTATTTGTAATTATATTTTTAATTCGCGACAAATTATGTGTTTTATATAATATTTTGTTTGTTTTTTTTTTCTATTTTCTATTCTATACAACCCCCTCTTCTGTCTCTTCCTCGTATTCAATGATACTTTTTTTTATTAAATTTTATTATATTTCTTTTTGTTTTCTTTTTCAATACTCGTTAGTTTTGTTCTAACGTAATTACGTCACGTGATTATCTCTTATTGGTATCGATTGTATTATTTTGTTTCTTTTTCCTTATCTTTTTTCTTTTTCTTTAATTATATAGGTATACCGAGATTAAATTTCTAATCAATTTCATAATCGTTTAAACTATTTATCATCTCGTCGATATATTATTTTACATTTAATTCGAGTTAAATTATTTAAACATATATGATAGATTTAACTAATCGTGTTTCCATGATTATCATTAATTTTTTTTTGGAAAACAAGAATTGACAATTGTATTACATTTATATAATATTTTTTTTATCTTGCGAACTATCGATTTTTCACCTACGATTATTTTTTTCTTTTTTTTTTTTTCCGTTCAATTACGAAATATAATTACTTATACAAAATATTTTCTAAAAGTATGTAAAAGTTATATGAATGAAAATAACAAATTGTGTTCGTAACTTTATCCCCCCCCCCTCTCTATCTCTCTCTCTCTCTCTCGTTCATTTATTTAACACACATTTAACAAACGAGTAATTTTAATTGCACTCGATTTGAATAATTTTTATCAATTTTCCCGTTCGTCGTTTTACATCCTGTTAATTTCTTCTTTTTTTATTTTTTTTTATTTTTACTTTTTTTGTATTTTTTTACTTTTTTTTTCTACACACGAAATATCAAATTAAACGTGAAAACATAACTGTTAAAACGTTCTGTGCCAGGGTTGAAATACGAATTTCCCTATTTTATTTTATTTCACTTTTTATTCCTTTTACTTTCTTTTTCTGTTTTTTTTTTTTTTTTTTTTAAATGAAAACACAACGAATTAACATATACATTTACGTAACGAACGTTTAATATTCTTAATATATTCTAACCCTACCTCGCGAAATAATATCCTGTAAAACAACTTATACGAGCATAATTTTCCTTCAAATGATTTTCCTGTTTCTTTATTTTCCTTTTTTTTTTTTTTCTTTTTTCAAATACCAAAGGAAACAAGGAAAGCAATAAAATATTATCGAAGATCCGTGATGTATAAAACGTTTTTTATTCAAATTTAATATTATTAGAGAAACACTAAACTTGTTTTTTCTAAGAAATTCATTATTGACTATTTAATACTTCGTGAATCTTAGCGATCAAAAAAAAAAAGAAAGAAAAAAAAGACGAATCCTATTCGATTTAATAAGTTAACATGAAAAACATTCATTAAGTATTATTTATATGATAGATATACGAGTGAGATTAGAAAACTTATGTATAATTTATTAACGATGTTATTATAATATATCTGTGTGTTGAATTATGTTTCAATCGATGAAATCAGAATTGCAATTGGGCAATTAAGAAAGTTCGTAAGAATTTCTAATATTTGCATAATTGATTTTTATAAATTAAAATGTGTCACGAATGTTCTTGTTGATCATCGAATATTTTAACATTAGATTGAAATAAACAATTCTAATAATAATAATAATAATAATAAAACAATGAGCTGTTCGTGTGTTTCATTACTTAATTCACCTAAAATCAATCACTCTTGTATATTCCATGAAATATCAAAGATAGGAACGTCTATTTCATGGGAAAGAATTCAATTACGTTTTCCATCAAGAATATTAACTCTTCTCTCTACGTCCAATTGAAATCCTTTAAAAATAACAAACACCTATATCTATACAAATATGATATTACTATATAATAGTCTAATATAATATGGCAATTATTTCATTAATAAAAAAATCATAACTTCGAGCATAAATCAAATGATTTAATAAATGAAAATATTCAACTGAACGATCAAATCGAAATTTTACGAACAAGAAAAATATATGTAAATTACTTAAAATATAAATAAATACACCATTTTAGAGATCTTAGTTATTTCAAGAGAAAAAAAGAAATACGAAAATGTTCTTAGAAAAAAAAAATAGAACATGATTAGAAACTTACGAAGTAGAAGCAGGTGTTTCTAAACAAGTAATACCTATTACTATGCAAAATACCGTTAGTATACCAGTATTCTCCGGTTTGAAATGGTTAGAAAAATTCTTATGCTAAGTATTCATACTAAATTCCTATCTGAATTCAAATTTGTTAATATACAGTTATATACGATGCATATAAGTATAATATAAACATATGTATACCAAATATCTTACATGTCAAACATGCATGTTTTATATTTATTGTATTTTTCTCGAAAAAATTTATACTGATTTAAAAAAAAAACAAAAAATAAATAAAAAAAAAGGTAAAAATAAGCAAATACTTTAATATATATTTTTACACATGATAGTTTAATTTTAAGATTGGTGATAATTATTGATAGACAAGGGGTGTGTTAAGAATAAACCTAAAATGTGAGATAATTATAAGTTAAATAATGATAAGACATTGTAAAAAACTTTGTAAGTTATACAATAAAAAACCTGATTATATATATATTTTTACACATTAAATAAATATACTTATTTAGAAAAAATCCTATTTAAAAATACATATATATATATACATTCCAGATTTTTATCAAAAACTTTATCACCGTATATTTCATAAATAAAAATAAAAAGATAGAACAAACTAAATGTAAAATATTACTAAAACGTTTTTAAAAATTCAATAAATGTTCTACTTTTTTCTGATAGATAAATCAATATAATCCAAATACATTATATACATATAAGTATACACGAATACTGGAGGAACCTAATCTAACTCGCAGATGACTAAGTACTAAGAGAGAACGAAACAATACCAACGATATCAATAGAATGAGATGATAGTGAAAGAGATAAAAAGAGGGTAAATGGGTGGAGGGGTGGAGGAGGGTGAAGAGAGAAAGGAGATTCTCTTTGAAGCAGATGTATATACAAGAAACCGAGTTGATGCTGCAAATCCAGTGAGAACCGGTTCACTTCTCGAATCAGCCAGCACAATGACTGCTAGATCATGATAAACGTACTTTATTATCATCCTATGTATTTCATTTATGTTATTTCGTACATATATATATATATATAGATAATTATTATACATATTAAATATATGGTGTCTGAAAAGGTCAAAACCAAACTCATAAAATGCATTAAAGTAATCATCAAAAAATACGCAAAAAAAAAAATAAAAAAAAAGAACAAGATTCGTACAAATTTTATATCCGAAAATGATTTTTTACCGAAGAATTATTATCGTTCAAAAAAAAAAATCCTATCCTATGCAACGGGAGATGATTGATGATAAATTAAATAGATCCTTTTACACCTGATGACAAAAAAACGAAGATGGTAAACCAACTGTATAGAAATGCATTCTAAATATTTTTATACTATTATTATATTATTAATATTTTTATAAGAAGAAGAGAGAAAAATATTTGTAAGAAAAAATTAATTATTAAAACAAAGGGGATAAAATATGAAAAATGATAAAAATTATATTGTACAGAAAAAAGTCGTAAGTATATAAAAATTATATTATCCTAACTTGACCTATACTACACGAACAATAGTTCGTAGCACATTACAGTACATTATATATATATATATAT